CCCCCCCCGCCCCCTCCATCTCCCGGCCCCGCCCAGGACCTCTCAGCTGCCCCGGCCCCCTCACCCTCTCCGGACGGTTCCTGAGCGGCGGCCGCGGAAAAGAACAACAGGAGCAGCGCTGCGACGCCGACAGGCAGCCCCCAGAGGGCCCTGAGCCCGCGAGTGCCCCCGAGCGCCATGGTGGCTGCGCCCCTTTCGACCGTCGTCGGTCGGTCGGACGTCAGCCGTACGCGCTCCACCACCTCCGTCGTCTGGCCAGTCAGTCTCCCAACGAGAGACGCACGCCGGAAGCGGGCGGGGCGAGCGGCAGGGCCGAGTGCGCAGCCGCGAGTCCCGGTTCGCCCCGCCCCCAGCCCCCCGGCCCGCCCTCCTCGGCCTGTGTTACCCGACTTCCGGTGCGGCGGGGGCGTGATTCAATGCGCGTGCGCGGCTGAAAAGCGGCGGGCTGGGCGGGGCTCGCTGCGGCTTAGTGCGCATGCGCGGACGCAGGGGCGTTCAGGGGCGGCGGGGGCGCGATGGGCTGGATTCTAAGGCCGTGAGGAAGCCTGGCCTGGTGGCCTCCGGGCCCGGTAGTGCCACCGCCGGTGCCCGGCTGGTTCCCGCGCCCAGGCTGCGCCGGTCGGGACCTGTGCGCATGGAGAGCAGCTCGCAGTAAAGTTGTCACCTGAGTCAGGGAAGCCGCGGGCTCGCCCGGTGGGGTCGCGGGGACGCGCCCGGGCCCGCGCCCCCGTCTCTCGGCACCCCACCTGGCCTCGGGCCGCGTGGTGAGGCGCCCCTCGGGAGCCTGCTCCAGGAGGGGTGCGTGCTGCAGGAGTCCGCTCGCTCTGCACACCGTTTCCGCGACCGAAGTGGAGACGGCCGTGGCTGGTGTCCGCGGAAGCGGCGGGGCCCGGGGGCTCGGGGCGCGTGGGGGCTGCCCGCCAGCCTGCTGCTCCCGGCCCCCCGCGCTGTTCGCTGCCGTCCCGCACCTGCCTCGGCGCCTCGGGAAGCCCAGCCGGCGACCCCGGTGGGCTCCGCAGGCCAACGTGAGGATTGAGACCAACCCATTTGGCCTGCGGGGATTCAGCGTGGGGCCTGGAAGCTTCCATGCCTCCCCTCCCGGAGTGGGGTGCCTACAGCCCTTAGAATTTAGCCTGCCCTTAACCCCCCGGGCCAGGGTGCACACACTATTCTCAGTCAGAAGACGGGTTGGTAATTGTGTGTTTGTGCCTCCCGTGTGCAAGGACCGAAGGTAGCGTCCCCTCATTCTGTCGTGGGAAAGCGCCCAGGTGGGTGGCTAAGTGCCCAAGGCGGGAAGAGAGGTGCGTGAGGGCTAGTAATGAACCCGGCAGGCCCGCCCTCCGTGACCTCCCCACCCCGCTCTCAGCCTCAGGGAGCTCAGCCCACTGCAGGACTGACCAGCCTGAGATGACAGGGTCACCCACAGGGAGGACCCCCGTCTCAGCGTTAGCTTTCCCCACCTTCGCTTCAGCGCAGACCCAAGTTAGCAGGGGCCAGTGGTGCTGGTCTCGGGCTGTGTGCGGAGGCTGAAGACCACGGGCCCGTGGCGTTGTGGCCGTGCCAGTGGTCTTAATGTGTGTCTTCAACTTTGCTCAGGCTTTTCATGTAGTGACAAAGATTCCTGTCCACGTAAGGCAGCAAAGACCCCTTAACTGTAGTAAACCGTGTGACCCACTTATTCTACTGCAAATACCTCATGTCTCTGCCTGGATCTGCTGTTTAGGTAAACAGATGTTAAAAAACTCCATTTCCACTGGAAATGGGATAAACACCTACCTAGGTTTAGAAATATGGCCCCAGAACCAATATGTTTTCATCCTAACAACACAAACAACAAACAATTGAGTGATAGTTGAAGGACATTGGACATTTGTAAACATTAACCAAGACACAGTGGACACCGCTGCATCTGAAAGTGTCATTGGCAACGGCATTTTTTAAGGAGGTTTCACACCCAGAGTGGAGCCCAGTGTCGGACTTGAACTCATGACCCTGAGATGGAGACCCATGCTGAGATCAAGAGTTGAGTGCTTAACCGAGCCCCCCAAGCGCCCCAACAATGGCATTAAAACACGACTGACTTGTGCAACATTTCAACAACATGGACATTCAAAAAATACTTGGTATCTAGAGTCCGTTTCCTGTTTTATTTTTTTAAATGTTTTATTTTTTTGAGAGAGCGCGAGCGTGTGAGCAGGGGAGGGTCAGAGAGAGAGAGGGAGACACAGATTCTGAAACAGGCTCCAGACTCTGAGCTGTCAGCACAGAGCCCGATGTGAGGCTCGAACCCATGAACCATGAGATCATAACCTGAGCCGAAGTCGGAGGCTTGACCGACTGAGTCCCCCAGGCGTCCCCGTTTCCCGTTTTAAAAGCGGGGAGGAGGAGGCTGCATTACTTAAATTGCATTCAATTGTCAAAGGGCTTCAAGCTCCTAGGAGAGATTCAAACAGATTCATGAGTGAGGACCCCAGCCAGAGGTCTGCGGGTGGAGGGGACACAGGGCACCATGAGAGTTCCAGCCCCGGCGGTAAGGGAGGAAACGAGGTTACCACTGAGTGCGCGTAGACGCGGCGCACAGGGAAGGGCCCCGAGGAAGGAGGGCAGTTTGGTGGAAAGATGCCAGACTCTCCTCGGACGTGACGGGGCTTGAGAGTGAGGCCTTGGGCACACGGGCCACGTGAGATGGGGCTCAGCTCACACAGGCCACAGGTTGTGCAGCGCAGGCAGGGCCACCAACATTCACAGGGCGGGGTGACCACAATTCCATTTTGTTCAACTGGGTGTTTAACGCTTCGGACAGGTAAAGCAGAGCGCGACTCTTTCGTCCCCGCACGGGAGGCTGTGGTCCCCTAGTGTGGGAAAGTCCCTGCTCTTCTGTTTCGAACGCGCTGTGTGGCCACGAGACCCTGGCTGATTTCTAGCGGCCTGGGCCCGGCTGGGCCGTCCGGCACCGCGCGCGCCCCGGGGGACAGCTGTTGCCCGGGCTGGCATGAGGCCCGGAGGCACAGACGGGCAGGAGATGCCGGAGCCGCCTGGCCCCCACGCCCTGGCGGGAGAAGGCGAGAGACGGGGGAAGGGCCGGCAGCGAGGGTTCCCGGCTGCTGAAGGTTAGTGGGCGAGGCGCTCTGCTTTAGGTCTTCAATTCTTGCTCTATGTTCTGGGTCCTACGCTGCCCGACCCCGGCCCGCGCCCAGCCTGCCGCCCTGTGCCCACCGGCGGGCACTCCTGTGTCCAGAGTATCACCGCTGGATACCGACAAGCACGGTAACCCCGGGAGATGGGGCTGTTTCACTGGGTCGTGCTGCGCTGGGTCGCCAGGGCTCCCAGGTCAGCCCCGCCCGGCCCGAGAGATGCAAGTGCTCCTCTGGACTCGCCTTCCCCCAGGAGCAGGTGCAGACAGCCGGGGTGGGGTGGGCGGGTGTGAGATGCTCCCAGGCCCACCCACAGCCACTGAAGGCTTAGGATGCGGGGCAGGGACGGGCCAGAGGGGGCCATGGACCTAGGCCGGCAGGTGAGGAAGGAGGAAAGATAACAGACCCTCACACCGCAGCCCACAGTCGACTCGGACCCTCCAAGTGCGCAGAGCCCGCAGACAGCCTCTTCGGAAGTTTTATTACTTGTTTCTACACACCTGACTAAAAAACAGTATACTCAGTGTGAACCCTGAGAAGTTCAAATATAAATAAATTTGTGCTGCCTTTAATGAGACCGCCACTCTAATTTTTATACAGGAAATCACACCTAACCTTGTAAAGCCCAAGCAATTCCTTCTTCAAGTCTCTACCGAAAAGGTCGGACACATCAGAAGGGGGAGGCTGTTCCTCCTGATGGGCCCTGCTGTCACCTGGCCTTATCTATTACTGTGAGAGCAGAGAAAACAGTGGATCTGTGGTTAACGGGTGAAGTGATGAAGCATCGTAAGCCATGTCCGCGGAGGAGCAGGACGGAGGAGACGTGATTTGGGGGCGTCCGATCCTGTCGGTTCAGACAGCGCGGTCTTCACCACGTGCTCTTAACTCTCAGCAAACTTCGGGTTCATGACTGTCGTGGTGGCGCTCTTGAAGAGGGGGTTATCCTGGTGGGAGAGGCGATGAGAGTCGTCAGTGCGGGCGAAGAAGGGGGCACGAGTGGGGTGACCTGCCCCAGCCCCAGCTCTGGGGATGAGCTACGGGGGCGGGAGGGCCAGACCCCGGGGGGCGGGCGGACCCAGGTCACAGGGGTGGGACTGAGCCCCCAGGACAGCCACTCACGTTGTTCCACTGGGACTTGAGCTTCTCCTTCTCAAATCGCTTGAACTCCCTGAGGTCACTGACGTGGGTCAGAGCCTTCCAGACGCCCAGCAGGAAGATGCCAATGAGCACGACCCCCGCCACGATGCCCCCCACGATGGGGGCCACTTGGGGGCCCGTCACGCACTCTGCGGCGAGGTAGAGGCACGCACATGTGAGTGTCTCAGGCGCCACTGTGGGCCCCGCCCCAGGACACTGCCTGGTGGGGACGCCGCTTTCCCACCGCCAGGCTCCCCCGCAAGGCACCAGCAGGGGGAAAGAAGCGTGGCCCCGCGCCCCCGCCGCCTCCATGACATCTGTCTGCGCCTCTGTCACGGTGCCTGTGTCACGCAGAGGCTGCTCGTGCGTCTGCACCTGAAATGCAGCTCCAAGTGGCCCCTCGCTCTTCTGAAAACTGCTGGTGGCCTCTGGTATGTTTGGAAAGGGACCCCACTGCCTCCCAGGACCCCCTGGGGCCCCGTAAAGACCCGGCGCCAAGGGCCTCTCACCACCAGCCTTTACCTCCCCTGTGTGGCTGCCCTCGTCCCGTGGCCTCAGCCGCAAGGGGCCTCCTCCCAGAGACCCTCGGAGCCCTGACCCCTGGGGCGCCCCCGCCGCTATCTTTGCACCTCGTGACCCCGCCCACAGTCCTGCGCTGTCTCGCGCACCGGTGCTCTCATGTGTTGGCCCAGCGTGTCCCCCCCTTGGAACGTGAACCCCACAAGAACAGGATTGGTGTCCCCATGGCCTCAACCATTACTGGGCCAGGACGGTCCCGGGGCGCTGCGACAGACACAGGCAGCATTTAGGAAGCCCACCCCTGCAGGGCTGAGATCTGAGCACGGGGCTCTCCGAAACCCCGTGGGGGTCCTCACCCAGCCGGCGTGGGCCAGCTCGTGGCACCCATGGCTCCCAGCCCCAGGCAGCCGCCAAGTGGGAGGTAACCGGCCTGGGAACGCGTCCCCTGGCTCAGAACAGCACCTGCCGCGCGTCCCCGAG